GGCAGCAGCAGCTGCAGAGCGGAGGGCAGCAACAGCTGCAGAGCGGAGGGCAGCAGGAGCTGCCCGATGGGGTGCAGCTTGCGAGGCTGCCAGAGGGGGAGATGGAGATGGAGTCGAGCAGACAGGTCTTGCCGGCGTGTTCGAGTGGAGAGGAGCACCCAGACCCTATGCTGACACCCCCGCCCCGCATCCCGTGCGAAACCTGTTATCGCACTTTCACGGAGAGAGGAAAGGCCACGCGTCATATGTCGGCCTGCAGGGCAGCGGACGCCAAGCGCCGTGCACAGGCGCTTGGGTTGACCCGCGACGTCACAGACGACTCGGACAGCGAACCTCCGCCACCACGGGATATCAGTGAAGAGGTGTGGGCCGCAGTTCCCACATGGGACTGGGAGTCGTTTTTCGGGATCGAATTGGTGCCAGGGAGAATCATGCGTCGCATCCCACAGCGCGCAAGACTGGGGGTGCTTGATGCACTAGCTTGTATCCTGAAGCGGCTCAAGTCAAAGGCAGCAGACGAGGCGGCATCCTTGGTGTTTTTGGCCTTCCCTCGTCTTTTCTTGGGGATTCCAACCGGGCAAGGCCAGGGGCAGAGGGCGGCAATTAGGGAGCGGTTGGAGAAGTTTTGGGCTGGGGAGTGGCAGCAGCTGTTTGAGTTGGCGGTGGCGGCGATGCAACCTGCGGCTCGCCCCTTGTCCTTCACCCCACCCGAGCATGATCCTGATGCCGTGCGCCTATCCCGCTGCCGTACAAGGTGCAAAGTGGGAGAATGGAGTCGGGGTTTGGCGTGCCTTACGGCTGGTAGCATCGCTCAGCCCTCTCAGCACATGGTGGACGCGCTACGAGCGAAACTCCTGGGTGCAGGAGGAGACAGTCGAGCCTTCCCTTATCCCACAGCTTTCAGTGGAGGTACTCGGCCAGGCGATCCACTCAGCGGCTAGGGCGTCCGCACCAGGACCGTCGGGGTGGGTGACGGAGCACCTGCGCGACACTTTTCTCTCTGAGCCCGCGTATCTGTCCCACCTGCTAGAGGTCTTCACCCAGTGGACCAAGGGAGAGGTAGCGGAGCGCGTGCGACCCTGGCTCACTGCGTCCAACTTGGTGGGCCTGTCGAAGCCGAATGGTGACGTTCGCCCGGTGGCTATAGGCGAGGTGCTCCCCCGCATACTATCTCGGGCCATATGCATCGTGCTTCGCCCGAAGATGATGTCGCACTTTGCTCCGTGTAACCAGTTTGGAGTCGGGTCCAGGTCGGGAGTGGAAGTCCTCGCACATGCCTTTCGCTCCGCCATCTCTACTCACCCGTCGTGGTGTGCGCTGCAAATTGACGTGGCGAACGCTTTCAACTCCTTCCATCGGCGGGAAATGTTTGAGGGTCTTCGACAGTCGCCTTTCAAGGGATTGATTCCATTTCTGCGTGTCTTCTACGGCACTCCTAGCGACCTCTATCTCCGAGCGGGCCCTTTTGTCGAAGCTTTGGCTTCCGAGCGGGGCTCGAGGCAAGGGGATCCATTGGGTCCGTTTCTGTTCGCGTTCACACAGCAGCTGGTTATGGAACCAACCAAAACGGAGTACGCCGACTTACTCTTCCTCAGCTATGCTGACGATACGTATATCCTGGGGCCTAGGGAACGGGTTCTAGCAGCCTATGAGGCCTTGCGGGAACGACTGGACGGGCTGGGTTTGGAGGTGCAGCCGCATAAGTGTAAGCTATGGGAGCGAGGGAGGGACCAGGATGGGGAGGAGAGAAATGAGACTGTCCCGCCCGGCATGCAGCAGACATGGACGGGGCTCACTGTGGTAGGGGTGCCCATTGGGGAGGAGGACTGGGAGGTGGCTAGCCTGCGTCGCCGGCTGACGGAGCTGCATGCACCTGTCCCCTGGCTTCCTCTGCTTGACCACCCACAGATTGCGTCCCATTTGTTGGCGATCGCAGTGTCGGCGCGCCCGATCTACCTCACACGGACGATGCCTCCACGACCTGAGGTTGTGGAGGCTTTTCGGGACTGGGACACGAAGCTGGAAGATTGTTTCGAGGAGCTGTTTCCAGATAGTACCTGGGATCACGATTCGGGGAAGTCCCAGATGGCTCGTTTACAGCTGCACCTTCCTGCCAGACTCGGGGGGTTCGGCATTCGATCTGCGGCTGACCTTAGTCCTCTGTCGTATGCATGTGGCTGGTGCCAAGCAGTGAGCGATGTGGCTCGGTTGGGGGTGGCAGGTGAGGAGCGGATGTTTGAGGAGTTTTTCCGCACGCCCGAGGCTACGACCTTGTTGGACCCCTGGTTTGCGAGAGCAGTGGATCTGCTTCCACAGTCGGTTCGGCAGGAGATGCCACCCCTTGCCTTGTGCACCGCTGATCCGCCTATGCTGCTCTTCCCCACACAACACCGTCGCCTGGCGGTTGAGAGCCTCCAATCTCTTCGAGGCATGGCCCACAACGATGCCACCCTGGCCCGTTTGACATCCCTTCAGGGCCCGGGGGCTGGGGCGTGGGTTTCTGCCGTTCCTTCGCACGAGGAGGCTACCTTCACCGCAGCCGAGTGGAGCATCTGCGCGTCCATGCGCCTAGGCCTCCCTATTCAGCAGCTGATAGTGGCCGGCAAGTGCGCGTGTGGGTTTGAGTTTGCTGATCCCTCTGACCCGCATCATGCCCTTCGCTGCAAGTATCAGTATGCACCTTCTCGGGTTCACGATGCGGTTAAATTTGTGGTGGCGAAGATAGCTAAGGGTGCGGGTGGGATTGTGACCATGGAAGACGACACGTTGCTCCCAGGGAAGAGGGTTGATGTGGCGGTTCGGAAACTGAGGGAGGGGGAGGAGCACGCGCTGGAGGTTAGTGTGGTAGATCCTATCTCGCTATCCGCGCAGCACCATGGACAGATTGGTCGCAAGGTGGGTTTTGCCGCGAGAGAGAGAGAAAAGCGGAAGACGGCGGACTACAAATCGCTTCTACAGCGGCATGGGGGAGTGCAGTTCACACCACTCATTGCTGAGACATGGGGATGCTTGGGGGGGAGTTTTGGACGGTGGCTTAAGAAGCAGGGTGACGCGCAGATCGAGATAGCAAAGACGAAAGGGGCGGCGCGAGCTACGGGAAAGGGTTTCTCGGCTTATTTGCTCGGATCGCTCAAAGCGGCTGTGGGTGTGGCTTTGCAACGGGCTCAGGCGCGTGTGATCTTGTTACGCGCTGCGTCGATGATGAGAGGCCCAGAGGCTGTTTGGGTGGAGCGGGAGGATGTTGAGGAGGAGATGGGATGGGATGCTCCGTGGGCGGATGCACCATACTTGGTAGACATGCGGGTTTAGGGAGTGGGTTTAGGGGGGGAGGTTTGGTTCGATGGGAGTGCAGTTGGGGTGCTTTGATGGGAGGGCTTGATGGTGTTTTAAATGTGTGTGCTATTGGGGTTTTCTTGGGGTTGTGTGTGCTACTTTTTCTTCCTTCTTCCCTGTTTTTCTTCCTCCTATCATTTTTCCCCTATTCCCCTCCTTCAAAAAAAAAAAAAAAGTGGAAGGGGAACCTCAAGAGAGGAGATTATTCTCAGAGATGTTACGAGTGCATAAAATCGACCTGTTTTCTTAATCAAATTCTACATGGAACACGACCTAAGGGAATTGTGCGTATTGTGGTGTATAAAGAATGCACATGTCAACGGGTTTGTACCATCTCGATTCATTATACTGTGTGTACCAATTGAGCATGCAAGTCGCGTTGGTTCTGCAGCACGATCCGACCGTCCATGCAGCCAAAGATGTGCGGTGCTCACATGCCTTGGAATTTCAGTGAACACATTTCAAGCAGGATGTTTGTGCCTTTTTCGGCAGACTCGACTTGGTCCACCAACCTCGGTGCTACTGTTTCCAGCGGATACCCTTCCCCCTCCCTCCCATTTCTTGCAAACTTATTTCCCGCGCGCGGGGTCCACACCAGTCATGACTCATGACTCCCCTCCCCTCCCCTCTCGGTTCCGCCACCCAAATGCAGTGTGCTACAGTAACTTTCCGCCGCGACCCCAGCGCCTTCACTCCCCCTCCCCCTCCCCTTCCCCCTCCCCCTCCCCCTCCCCCTCCCCCTCACCCACTCTCCTTTCCCCCGCTACACCTCAGGGAACCAATCAGCCCATCAGTGCGCTGCATCCATGGCTGGCAGCCATGGCGAGGCAACTGCTAACATGAATACTATCATACTAAGAAGAAATGTATCTATACTAAAAAGAATACATGAATTATCATCCATGGCCATGTGCACGTCCTCCTCTCATCTCACATCCACCCCACCCACCCACCTCTGCTCCGCGTCCTGCCTGTTCCTCGAGCAAGCCCTAGATTGACCACCTCCCTTATTAGACCGTTGCGTCTTCGCAGTGTGTGGCATTGATTGTGCCGTGCACAGACATCTAACGCCCTGTCAGTTCTCAATCTACGCACGAAGGGAACAGGCTTGGGAAACACAGCGTGCAAGAGTGAGCCTGAGGTTATCGCTTCTGGACATTAACAGTGCCTATGAATGTCCGTGTCGTCATATGAATCCTTCAGGCGGACATAAACACGACCCAGTGCGCGGCCAAGGTCGCACTAGCCCGCAGCCCTCCGATGTCCGTGCGCCTCGAACGACGCTCTCAGCAGCCTAGTACGGGTTGTGTAGTTCTGGTTCGGCCGGCAAACCCGCATTTTGCGCGCGCGAGCCGAATGTGGGCTGGTGCGTTTCGGCTTCACGTCTAGCCGCTTATCCTCATCAGTTTTCCCGCCTATGGCAATGCTCTGACACCTCCGTGCTTCGTCACCGCAGCTAGATCGCCGGCTTGCGCCCACATTGCGCGCTCGGGCCGTTCGCCATGGCTGCCAGCTGGCGTCCACGTCATCATATCCAGACGGTGACGAAGGCGGCGTGCGCTGCTGCTGTCTGTTCCTAGTCCCTTGTCGTATTTTCCTCGAGTCTTGAATTCTCCGTTGTTTCCGGTGTTGTTTAACGACGGGGAACACGAAACGGACGCGGTCCGATGGCGAATGCAGGCGAGAATACGATGACGGAAGGATCGGGTATAAGATTAGCGGAGCGCAGGGGGAGTGGCAGTACGGCGGGTGGCGCGGAGAGTAGCAGAGGCGCTGCTAACGGGCTTATCGATGGCCATGCGAAGGCTTCGAGCCAAGTCCAAGGCGACGACGTTACCGTCCCGCGAACAGTTGTTGGCGACAGCAGCGGTAACGGTAAGGGTAACGGTAACGGTAACAGCAATGCCAGCGTTGATACCGCAAGCACCAGCACCGGCGATAGTGGTATCAAGGGCAAGCCGCGGGATCACGGCGGAAGGCAATCGGGCGCAGGCCCCGCCTTCCGCCCAAACCAGCAAATCCCCATGCCCACGCTCAACCGCGCCCGCTTCGGCCTCCCCGCCATCTGCCTCGATCTCGCCGTTCTCCCCAGCGGCTCCGCCGGCAGCCCTAGCAGCGGCAGCAAGGCGGCGCATGCGCGCGCGGGCGCGGACGGGCGGTTTGCGCGGAGCGCGAGCAGCGGAATCAGCGCGGAGGAGGAGACGGGGGAGATCGTGGGGACGGAGGAGGAGCCGATGGACGTGCGCGCGCGCAAGCAGAAATTTCTCTTCTTCGAGAAGGAGTGCTCGCAGATCATGGCGCACGTGTTCGTGGGTAGCGACGCCGTGGCGCGCGACAGGGAGATCCTGCGCAAGTCGGGCATCACGCACGTGCTCAACTGCGTGGGGTTCGTGTGCCCCGAGTACTTCCCCGGCGACATCACCTACAAGACGCTCTGGCTACAGGTGTGCCGCCGTTGCCGCTGCTGCCTCGTTGCCTCCCCCGTGTCTCCCCCCGCCGTCGCGTAACCGCCGCCTGATCTGACTGAATAGTAGTTGTTAGGATTTTGTTCTCCTGTTTCTTAACATTTTTTCCTTTTTTTTTTTTTTTACTTCCGCGGGGCGTGAGGGGAGAGGTGGGGGGAGCAAGCAAGTCGCGTTTACTAGGATTCGTCGGGCATTTCGGCCCGTATGCAACGTCTAGCGTACTCTGGGTGGGGAGCGCAGCTGCGCGCGTGCGGAGAATTGAACCGACGTCACAGCTGCTCGCTGTCGCGTGGCAATGTCACTCTCGCGCGCCGCATTACGACGCTCCACTGCCCCACCTGCTGCACTCCCCCTCCTGCTTTCCCCCTCTTGCCTCTCTCCCTGCTCCCCCTTCCCCCCTATGCCGCTCCCCTCCCTGCACTCCGCAACGCGCCCTTCCGCATGGCTGTCTTCTAACCCCCCTCACGGATCCTCGTGAATCCTCGCCCAGCCCAACCGCCCCTCCCGCCTCCTCATTCCCCCCCTCCCCTCACCTCATTCCCCCCCCCCCCCTCTCTTCCCCAACTCAACCACCTTACAACCCCGTTCCCCCGTCCCCCCTTCCCCCCATCCCCCGCATCCCCCCCTCTCCCCACACCCCCCAGGACAACACGTCGGAGGACATAGCGTGCGTGCTGTACGACGTGTTCGACTCAAAGCTCCCCCATCCCTTCCTTCCCCCATTCCCCCCATGTCCGCCCCACCGCGCCCTCCTCGTCATCCTCCCCCCCCCAGGACAACACGTCGGAGGACATATCATGCGTGCTGTACGACGTGTTCGACTTCATCGAGGTGGTTCCGGTGGGTGAGAGTGCCGCGTCATTACATACACCCATCTCCACCCATTGCTACCCCCGTCATCCTCCTTTCTCCCCCCTCCCCCCCCAGGACAACACGTCGGAGGACATATCGTGCGTGCTGTACGACGTGTTTGACTCAAAGCTCCCCCATCCCTCCCTTCCCCACATTCCCCCCATGTCCACCCCCCCCCCGCGCCACCCACCAGGACAACACGTCGGAGGACATAGCGTGCGTGCTGTACGACGTGTTCGACTTCATCGAGGTGGTGCGCCAGGAGGCGGGCCGCGTCTTCGTGCACTGCTGCCAGGGCGTCTCGCGCTCCACCTCGCTCGTCATCGCCTACCTCATGTGGACCGAGGTGCGCGCAGGGGTGGTTCGGTGGGTGCGTGCAGGGTGGGTGGGAGGGTGACACGGTGGGAGTGTAATGGTTGCTGCCTGCCCCATCTGCTGTGTATGTCACGCCCTCGCCATGCGACCCCATGCGTATGCCGCGCGCCATGGCACTCTCCACGTCGCGTCATGCTACCACTGCCGCGAACTGCTGGAGATGAGCGTGGGTGGAAGTGATAGTAAATTCACGGGGGGCGCGACTGGGGGTATGGCGAGAAGTAAACCCTAATGGCGAGAGGGTAAACTGATCTCCCACCCGTTCCTAATGCGCGTCACGCATGACATTCGGGCGTGACATTATGGCGTGAGCGGATGCGCGCTGCTGACGCGCCACTGCGCACCTCATCTAACCGCTCGCTGTCTTGCCCTCGCCCCCTTTCCGTTCGCTTCCCTTACGCCCTTCTTCAACCCCTTACGATCTCCCTTCTTCCTCCCCCCCACCCTCTTTTCCCCGCCCGGCCAACCCCCTTTTCGTCCCCTTCAACCCTTCCCCTCCGTCTGTCCCCGCCCCCATCGTCGCCTTCCCCCCGCGCGCGGCGAGCGCAGAAGCCGAGGGGCTTCGAGGACGCGTTCCGGTTCGTGAAGGCGATCCGCGGCGTGGCGAGTCCCAACATGGGCTTCGCGTGCCAGCTGCTGCAGTGGCAGGAGCGCGTGCTCCCGCCCTCCGCGCTCCCCCCCGCGCACCAGCCACTGCTAGACGGCGACGACGCGCACAGCAGCGGGCAGGACGGGGAGGACGGGGAGGACAGTCAGGCAGCGAGGGAAGAGCAGGAGAGGGAGAGGGAAAGGCAGAGGGAGAGGGAGCGGGAGCGGGAGAGCGTGGTGCGCGTGTACCGCATGGCACCGCACTCGCCGTACGATGCGGTGCATCTGGTGCCCAAGGCCGTGCTGGAAGTGGGGCCGCGCTGCCTCGACCCGCGAGGAGCCTTTGTCATCCAGGTCTGTGCTGTTCTTCTGCGCGGCGCGGCTCTCGTTCTCGCCTGCCCCAGCGCCCTCCCCGCCCCCCCGTTTCCCCTGTTCTCCTCGGGCCTAGCCCTCTGTCGTCACGCTTTTCAGTCGTCAGTCGTCAGCCGTCAGCCGTCAGCTTTGTCACCACCGCAAGCCGTTTCGGTTTCCCTTCCTGCCCTTTCTTCCCCCCTTCGAACCCCATCTACCCGCCTGGCATCCCCCCTAATCCCCTTCTCCCGCTCTCCGCGTCTTCCCACTCCGCGCCCTCCCCCCACTCTCCTTCCCCCGCCACTCCGCCTGCACTCCTCATCTCCCCTCCCCCTCCTCCTCCCCCTCCCCGTCCCCCCTTCCCCTCCCCCCTTCCCCGCTCCCCTTCCCCCTCTCCCGCAGGTGGGGCGCACAGTGTACACGTGGAAAGGCACTCAGTGCCACGCGCTCATGGCGGAGCAGGCGGAGCGGGCAGCGCGCCAGCTCGTCACATACGAGGGCCTCTCCCCCTACTCCCCCTCCCCCGTGCTGCAAGGCGCGGAGCCCGCGCCCCTGCTCTCCGCGCTCCACTCCCACGCCTCCCGCGCGGGCAGGCGGGCGGGTGGGGGCGGCAGCAGCGGCGGCAGCAGCAGTGAGTGGGCGGCTGTGATAGAGAGAGAGGGGTTGACGTATATGGGGCAGGACGCGCACATGCTTGCAGGCGTGGGGAGCAAGTCTCTTGCTGTCAAACCCACGATTCCGAAGCTGGCCTCCATCCCTGGGAGTCAGAGCGCTAGGAATAGCAGCAGCGGCGGCAGCAGTGGTAGTTCTAGTAGCAGCAGCAGTAGCAGCGGCAGTAGCGGCAGCAACGGCAGCAGCGGGAGTAGCGGCAGCAGCGGCAGCAGCGGCAGCAGCGGGAGTGGGAGCAGCAGCAGCGGGAACAACAACAGCAGCAGCAGCAGTGGGAACAGCAGCAGCAGTGGGGATGCGGCGGGGTGGGGCCCAGTAGCAGAGCAGCAGAGCGAGTACGACTACGACTACGAGTGCTTCCTCCGGGCGCTAGACGGCGGTACACCCAAGCCCATTGCAGGCCTCGCCTCCCCCAACGCCAAGGTGCTCCCGCACCACGGCAGAGGGTGGCTGGGGGCCACGCTCGATGACTGCTGGGGCGCACTCGCTGCTGGGGGAGGGGGAGGGGTTGGGGAGGGTGAGAGTGGGGGCGGCGGGGATGGCAGTGAGGGTTCCGCCGTTCGTCTGCACAGCCGGTCGTTTTCCGTTGGGCACGCCACTCTTCCTTCGCTGTTCCCTGTTCCGCCTTCCTCCGCCTCAACCTCTGCCGCATCCGCCTCATCTAAGCCTGCTAAGCCAGGTGCGTTGTCCCTGGGCGCAGCAGACTCAGCGGGGGGAGGAGGCAGTGCCACCAACAAGCCCCTGTTCGCGCCTGTGCTGCGCAAGCCTCTGCCGTCGCTACCGTCGCCGTCGTCCTTCTCCCCGCGCTCCCTGGGCTTCTTCCCGCCCTCGGGCGTGGGCGCGTACGGCGCAGCGCTGCAGAAGTATAGCCTGGAAAAGAAGGGCGCGGGGGGGGCAGGGGCAGGGGCAGCAGCAGGCGCTGCAGGCACGACGGCGAGCAGCAGTAGCGGTGGCAGTAGCGGGAGCACGAGCAACAGCAGTGGGGTAGGAAACTGCAGCAGCAACAGCAACAGCAGTAGCAGCAGCAGCAGCAGCAGCGGAAGTGGTCAAGGGTCGTCTAGGCTGGGGGGCGCAGGGAAGGCCCCTCGAGGCAGCAGGCTGCAGATGTCCACAGGAGGGGGGCTCGCAGGCTTGCAAGGCACGAGCGGTGGGGACGGGGAGGCGGGCGGACAGGTGGGCGCGGAAGAGAGAGGCGTGGGGGAAGCGGAGCTGCACGGATCTGCGCTGGGCGGATCCCCGCTGAATGACATGGGTATGGTCGCAGTGCCGGGGGCGGGGGCGGGGGCGGGGGCGGGGGCGGGGGTGGGGGTGGAGGAAGAGGAGGAGAGTTCAGGGAGCGGGGAAGGTGGTGTTGGGAGGGTGTCAAGGGGGGGAGGGGACGCGGGCAGCTGGATGCTGTCTCCACGTGGGCCTAGGAACACACCCAGCAAGCCATGGGAGGCGGAGGAAGCAGGGCAGGGAGCAGCAGTGCAGGAGGAGCGGAGAGAGAGGGAGGCACGGACACGAGGGGCCCGAGGAGAGGGGTCAGGGTCAGGGAGTAGGGAGCGATCAGGTGCAGCTTCTGCTCGCCCGCTCCCTCCCAAGCCTTCGCTTCCCTCTGGCATGGCCCCAGCAGGGAACGCAGGTCCTTCCGCTGCCTCCTCCTCCTCTGGCGCTTCCCGCGCCACCCTCCCCCCCAAAGGCCGCTCCGCGTCCCCTCTGCGCCCCCCCCGCCCCCAGCAAACCTCTGGCGCTGCTGCTGCTGTGCCCAGAGGAGGGGGTAGAGGGGTTGGTGTGGGTGGGATGGCTGATGGGTTCATGGATGGCGGAGGGGGAGGGGAGGAAGAGGATGAAGAGGACGGGAGTGGAGATGGGGGGGGACGGGATATGTATGGAGCGCTGCTGACTCCTAGAAGGAAACCTCCTGTGTCGGCCTTTGGAAGGGAGAGGGGGGCGCGGAAGGGGAGAGATGGCGGGGAGGGAAGTGGGAGGAGAGGGCGAGGGGGCTCGGATGAGGATAAGTGGGGAGGTGATGGGGGGGAGAAGGGGGTTGGGGGCGGGAGTTTTGGTGGGGAGGATGGTGGGTTTGGTGTGCCTGGGATGGAAGATGAAGGGGAGAGTGGGGGGATGGGGAGTGATGATGAGAGTGGAGGTGGAATGGCTTTCAGTCTGCCCACACCTAGGAGGGGTGGGCCACAGATAAAGAAGATTTTCTAAAGGGGATGGAGCAGGGGGGCAACAAGGAAGGGCAGGAGGAACAAGGAGAAAGAAGGAGAAAGAAGCCTATTTTATTCGACAGTGGTGTGCAAGAAAGGTGTGCTGCTGAGTGCTGTGACTGCGGTAGCAGACATGGATTAGCTTGTTGCAGTTGAGTTGGTGCTGTGTGCTGGGGTGCTTCTTAGAGGCGTTGCGAGCTGTAGAGGGAGCAGCAGCAGGGAGGGAGATGCTGTGCTGTGGCGTTGCACCCCATCACACACTTTGGAGCCAGATAGCCCTGCGGGAGCAGGTAAGCAAGTGTGCGTCTAGGCAATACAAGGAGCCCTGCACTCAGCTTAGGCACGTGAAGCAGAGGGGATGGGGCTGAATTCCGCAAGTCAACATTGGAGATTTGATCGTATGACTCCCAAGGGAAGGGGCCAGGGAGAGTTCATTGGTGGTTGGTCAATGCACAAGAGGAGTGCTGGTGCGGGGCGGGGGAACCCATGTGCATGGCACGGATGATTTGTGCAGAGCAATTGCTCGTGTATGAGTAGCTTGGTGTGTACTACTGGTGGTAGTCTGGTCTGGTAGATCTGCATGTGTTACCGGTACCGTAGGTATTTATGTGGAATTGCTGTCCTTTTAGCTTTTATTAGAATGTCAGCTTTTATTTCAACAGGTCCTGCTTGTACCTTGTGAATTAAGGCATTTACGGGTAGCCATATGTGTCAAATGTTGTAGCCTATAGTGAGGTTTGTCTTAGGGGGTACAAAACTTAGGGTTAGCTATATGTACCCCAACCAACATCAATGCATCATCCATTCTTCATTTTGACATGGTATCAGTTAGGTTAGGATCCTGTGGGATCCCGTTCCGCCGTTCTCCGTTCGTACCACCCGAGCCTGATCCTAGCTCTCGTTCGTCTCCTTCTCGTTGTTACCGAGCCTAGCGCCGAGCCACGCTCTCGTTCGTAGCGTAGCCCGCCCCCCCCCCCCCCCCCCCCCCCCCTTCGCGTCGCCTTCCCCCCCCCCTCGAGTCGCGCCCGTCCCTTTCCCCCTGTCGCGTCGCGCTCCCCCCGTCGCGTCGCGTCCGCGCCTTCCCCCCGTCGTGTCGACTTCCCCCTGTCCCGTCGCGCCCCCCCCCTTTCCCCCCGTCGTGTCGCCTTCCCCCTGTCCCGTCGCACCCGCCCCCTTTCCCCCCGTCACGTCGCCTTCCCCCTGTCCCGTCGCACCCGCCCCTTTCCCCCCGTCACGTCGCCCTCCCCCTGTCCCGTCGCACCCGCCCCTTTCCCCCCGTCACGTCGCCTTCCCCCTGTCCCGTCGCACCCGCCCCTTTCCCCCCGTCACGTCGCCCTCCCCCTGTCCCGTCGCTCCTGCCCTCTCCCCCCGTCGAGTCGCCCGTCCCGCAGCGCCCGCCGCTGTCGCTCGCGACCGCGCTCGTCGCCGCCGCGCCTGCAGCCATCGCTCGCCCCCTGCGCGCCTCGCTGCGGCCCCGCCGTCGTCGCCCGCCGCTGCGCGCGTCGCCGCTGCGCCCCCTGCCGTCGCCCGCTGCGCGCGCTGCTGGCCCCTGCTGCCGTACGCGCTGCCATCGCCCGCCGCTGCGCCCGCTCTCGTTCTGCGCTGCTTAGTCCCCTGTTACCTCCCGCTGTCACGCCCGCTGTGGCGTCCGCTCCTCCCCTGTCCCAGAGTACCGCCGAACCCTAATTTGCCTCTCATCTACTGCTGTCCCCTCCCTCTCCGTTCGCGTTCGTTTTCGCTATGGCGACTCAGCGTGTCCTTCGTTTCGACGCTGACGGTAGACCTCTTGATTTTTCCGTCTGGCTTCTTCGTGCTCGCCGTCTGTTAGAGAGTCAGGTCCAGGCAGGCGAGTCCCTCTGGGCGCACGCTACTGGTGCCCTACCTGCGCCCCCCGACCCTACGCCTTTAGGACCTGCCCCTGACGACGCCGCTAGAGCCCGCTTTGCCACTCAGCGAGCTGACCAGACGGCTTGGACGTCACGTGACGCTGCGGCCTGCATCGCGCTCAGCAGCCTCCTCCCTGAGTCTGAGGAGGTTCACTTCACTCAGGTTCGCACCGCTGCTGCGTACCTCACTGCGATTAAGGCCCGCTACTCTACTCCCGCTGCTGTCTCTCTTGGCCGCCTGTTCCTCCCGTTCCTGTTTCCTGACCTGGCGTCTTTTGAGCGCTCTGCTGACTTGATCGCTCACCTCCGCTCGCTCGACGCTAGTTACCGCGCTGCTTGCACTGAGGCACAGCTTGCACTGCTTCCTCCCCCTATGGCGATTACTATCTATTTCATCGCCACTAGCCTCCCTGACCGCCTTGCCTCCGTTCGTGACGCGCTTCTGCTGAAGCACCCTAGTGAGCTCACCGTCGAGGTCCTTGAGTCTGCACTCAAGGACGTCGAGAGCAACCTTCGCTCGGTAGCCGCTGCCTCTGGTGCTGTGCCCCCCCACTCTTCCACGGGTGCACAGTCCCGCAGTTACCCACCTTTACTGCCTCACTTGCCACTGCCGCTACTGACGCGACTGCAGCTGCTGTTACGACTGCGTCGCGGTCCCGCGGTAGGAGTGGCAAGAAAGGCGGTTCTGGTGGTGGTAGTGGAGGTGGAGGCGGAGGTGGTGGAGGTGGCGTTGCGCCTGGCGGCGGTGGAGGTTCAGGGCCTGGAGAGGCGCCTCGTGCAGTGACTGGTGACTCCACTGCGCCTGCTAGTGGTGGCGACGCCCGAGTTCGTCAGTCGCCTCCTGTACTTCCTGCCCCGGTTGGCGGAGCAGCGGCGTGGTACCAGGCTCAGCGTCAGCAGCAGCTTCTGCAGCACCAGCAGCCCCTCTCCTCCCAGCAGCCTCAGCAGCAGCAGCGGCAGCAGCTGGCTCCAGGGTCGGGGCTGCGTCAGACCCAGCGCGGTGCTGCTTACACTCCCTGCACCTACCAGGTTCTGACAGGCACTCGTCGTGGCCACCCTTGTGGCCGGTTTCACCCCCCTGGTCAGTGCTTTGCTCAGCTCACTGACACGGTTCGTTTGGTCTACGGGGTTGGTGCTCCTGCCCCTGACTGGCTGCCTCTTGTTCAGCGCTACGGCTCCGCTCTGTGGGGCATGTCTGCTGAGCAGTTAGTTGATCTGATTGGTACTCCCCATGCTATGTATGCTGTTGTTGACTCTAGTGTTTCTGACTCTGCTTACTCTGGTGTTGTTAGCTTAGGTGCTAGCCTTGCTCAGTTGCCTGTTGCTAGTGTAGGTTCTTGTGTAGACTCTAGTCCAGCGGCTACCTCAGAGGACGGTTCGCTGTCGTTCACGCTGGACTCTGGAGCCTCTCACTGCTTCTTTCGTGACAGCACGACACTTACGCCTCTTCCTGCGCCTGTTTCTGTGGCGCTGGCTGATCCCACTTCGGGACCAGTCACCGCGCGTCACACTACCACCTTGCCGTGTCCGGCTGCTCCTTCTGGGTCTCTCACTGGGTTTCACGTCCCCTCGTTCTCCCGGAACTTGGTGGGCGTGCGACCCCTCGTGAGTCAGCACGTGGGTGTGTGGTTTGAGCCTTCTGGAGAGACTGCGGTGTGTGTTGACGGGGACTCTTACCAGCCCCTCGCCACTTTTGCTGCTGAGCCGGGCTCCGGTCTCTACACTCTTCACACTGGCCCGCGCCCTCAGCAGCGACTTCAGCAAAAGCAGCAGCCGCAGCAGCAGCGGCAGCAGCAGCCGCAGCCGCAGCCACAGCCGCCCCTCCTGCCCCCGGCCCCTGTTTTGCCCCCCGTTCGAGTCCTCGCGTCTCACCAGGTTGCTCCGTCCCCCCAGGTAGCTGTGTCTTGTCAGGTTCCTCCGTCTAGTCCGGTCGCTGCGTCGTGCTCCTGTCGGTCGCTTGCCCACCCCACCGTTTTGTGGCACCACCGGCTGGGGCACCCTTCTCCTCCTCGTCTTCGCGCTATGTCTCGTCAGCGTCTTGTCTTAGGTCTCCCGCGTGTCTTGCCGTCGCTGCCGCCGTCCCTTGCACCACCGTGCGGTCCTTGCGTCGAGGGTAGGCTGCGCGCCACCCCTCACTCCTCCTCCCTTCGTCCGGCCACCGAGCCTTTTGAGACGCTGCACTTGGACGTCTGGGGCCCCTCTCCTCGCCCTGGCCCTGAGCGTGAGCGTTTCTTTTTGGTGGTCGTTGACGACTACTCCCGCTACACCACAGTGTTCCCCCTGGCGAGGAAGTCTGAGGTGACTTCTACGCTGATCAGGTGGTTGCTTACCACCCAGGACACTCGTGGTCGTCGTGTCAGCTGTCTCCACTCCGACCGCGGGGGCGAGTTTTGCTCCGGCATTCTCGCTGGATTCTGTCGCGAACAGGGCATTCGTCAGTCCTGGACGCTTCCGGAGTCCCCACAGCAGAATGGGGTTGCTGAGCGTCGCATAGGCCTGGTCATGGAGATTGCCCGCACCTCCTTGACTCACGCCCGTGCCCCCCATTTCCTGTGGCCATACGCAGTCAGGTACGCCGCGCACCAGCTGAACCTCTGGCCACGCGTCTCTCGGCCGGAGGCTTCACCGACCAGTCTTTGGACAGGGTCCCCTGGTGTCGCGTCGAGGTTTCGTGTCTGGGGGTGCTTGGCTCTTGTCCGCGACACCTCCGCGGACAAGCTCTCGCCTCGCGCCGTTCCTTGTGTCTTCCTTGGTTTCCCTGAGGACTCCTCTGACTTCACCTTTTACCACCCTCCCTCTCACCGGTTCTTTGACTCCCGTGACGTCCGTTTCGAGGAGTCCACCCCCTACTACGTCAGGTACCCCAGTCGAGGTCTCCCGGTCCCTCCCCCCCCTCTCTTCCTGACCGCCGCTCCCCCGCCTGCTCCCCCGGTACAGCCTCCCCCCCCTGGTCCAGCCCCGTCTGGTGTGTCTCAGGCTAGCCCTCCCCCTTCGGTAGCCCCCCCTGTACAGCCTCCCTCCCCACAGTCTTCCTCGCCGCCTCCTGCAGGTGCTCCCTCTCGAGAGGTTGGTCCTGCGACTGTCCCTGTACAGGTCTCTGGTTCTGGGGGTGCTG